ACACACATATTCCCAACTGATTTTTGATGAAGAAGCAAAAGCAATTCAAGGAAAGAAAGCCTTTTCAAAAAATGGTGCCATAGCAAGTGAACATTCATAGGCAAAAAAAATGAACTTCAACTCAAGGCTCATGCCTTATATCAAAACAAACTCAAAATAAATCATGGACTTAAATGTAAAAGTTTGAGGAAAAAACGTATCTTTGGGATCTAGAGTTAGGCAAAAAGTTCTGAGACATGACACCGAAAGCACAATCCATAAAAAGCAAAGTGGAGGGACACCTGGGTGGCTCAGTCAGCTAAGCCTCTGCCTTCAGCTCAGGTCATGATCCCAGAGTCCTGGGATTGAGCCCAATGGGCTCCTTGCTCAGCAGGGAGCCCGCTTCTCCCTCTGCCTGTGCTCATGCTCTCTCTGACAAATAAATAAATAAAACCTTTTAAAAATAATAAAAAACTTAAAAAAAGGAAAAGTTGATAAACTGGACTTCATGACAATTTAACATTTTTACTCTGAGAAAAACCCTGCTGAGTGAAGGAAAAGACAAGCTACAGATTGGAGAGAACTATTTGCAAACCATGTACCCAAAAAGGTCTAGTAACATAGAACTCTACAAACAGAACAGTTAAGAAAGCAAAAAAAAACAAGTAGAAAATAGGCAAGACTATGAAGCGACATTTCACCTGAGAGGATATACAAAGGGCAAGTAAGTAGATGAAAAAATGCTCAAAGGGAAATGCAAATTAAAATCACAATGAGAAGTAAAATCACAATGAGATGGGCACCTGGCTGGCTCAGCTGGTAGAGCATGGGACTCTAGATCTCAGGGTTGTGAGTTCAAGCCCCACGATGGGTGTGGAACCTACTTAAAATTAAAAATAAAAAGTAAATAAAATCACAATCACTACACACCTATTGGAATGGCTGAAACAAAAAATAATGTCAATACCAAATGCGGATAAGGATGCAGAGAAACTGCTTCACGCACAATACAGGTGGGAATGTAAAATGGTACAGTCACTGTTAAGGACTGAATCGTGTCCCCCCAAAATTCATATGTTGAGGTCCCAACCACTGTCCTCCGAATGTAACCATTTTTGTGGGTTTTTTGCTTTTGTTTTTGTTTTTTATTGAGATAAGGTCTTTTAAAGACGTGATTAAGTTAAATGACAGCAAATCCCTAATCCAGTATGACTGGTGTCCTTATATGAAGAGGAAGAGACACCAAGGATATGAGCCCACAGAGGAATGGCCATGTGAGGACACAGACAAGAAGGTAGCATGTGCAAGCCAAGGAAAGAGGCCTCAGAAGAAACAAAACCTGCTGACACCTTGATCTTGGACTTTAGCCTCCAGAGTTGTGAGAAAATTAATTTCTGTTGTTTAAGGTATCCAGTCTGTGGTATTTTGTTATGGAAGCCCTAGCAAACTAATACAGCCACTCAGTCTGGGGTGCAACTACCATACAATCTAACAATTGCACTCCTGGGCATTCATCCCAGAAAAATGAAGATGTGTTCACACAAAAACCTGTACACAAATGTTACATGGCAACCTTATATATAACAGCCAAAAACTGGAAACGACCCAGATGTTCTTTAATGGGCAAACGGTTAAATGCACAAAACTGAGTATCACTCAGCAATAAAAAGGAATGAGCTACTGACAGATACAACAACGTGAGTGAATCTCCAAAGAACTGCACTGAGTGAAAAAAGCCAATCCCTAAAGGTTACATGTATGATTCCATTTACATAACGTTCTTGAAGTGACAACATTATAGAGATAGAGAACAGATTAGAAGTTGCCAGGACTTGAAGCGTAAGGGTGGGAGAGAAGTGGGTAAGACTACACAAGGGCAACATGATGGATCCTTGTGGTGATGGAAATGTTCTGTATCTTGACTATAGCAATGTCAATATCTCCCTGTGATATTGTCCTGGAATTCTGTAAGACGTTACCAGTGGGAAAAATAGAGTAAAGGGAATACCTCTGTATTTTTTTTTTAACCATGGAATGTAAATCAACAATTACCTCAAAATAAAAAAAGTTTAACAAAACAATCAGAAAAAAACCCCCAAAACCCAATTTTTAGAAAAACCCATTGCAGATACAGGTAAACACATATGATTATGTGTTTGTTATGATGGGAAGAGGTTCTACATTTGGACCTGGTATCCAAACATCTCAATCCACTTACCTGTTTCACTCTGACTGTTGAGTGGTGAGGACTTCGGCTTCTCTTACTCCGAGGAGACTTGCTTCTTCTCCCTGAGGACTTGTTTTTCTTTTTGGCTGGGGACCTTTTCAGAGCATGGTACACACAGGGTTTTATCTCAATTTCCCTTCCCCCATATAAATTCACTTCAAGTATCAGGCTTACCTACTAACACAAACAGCACATTTGTGAAGGGCTCCGCTTTTCATATTAAAGGAGGTGGGAGCTTCACTCTCCAGCCCTGACGTCTTCCTTGAGTTCCAGACCCACATACATGGCTGCCTACTGAACCTTCTCACAGAGCATAACACTCGCTTCCCAACCCCTCAAAACCCTTTCCTCCCACAGTCTCTGCCATCTCAGTAACTGGTACCACCATCCACCCTGTTCCTCAAGACAAAAACCTAGAAAACACCCTTGACTCTTTTTTCTCTCACCACCAATAGCTCCCCACTCCCTCCCGCCACAACCACATCAATCCACCAGGGAGTCCTCTGGCTCTATCTCCTCCCTCTCCCACCTCACTCCTACCACTGTCCTTGATCAACAGACAATTGTCCCCCCTATTTCTAGAACAATCACATTAATTCTGCTTCAGGTTCTTTGCATGTATTGTTTCCTCAGCCTGGCTCTTTACGAGGCTAGATTATTCTTATCATTCGGGTCTCAACTCAAATGGCACCTTTTCAGAGAAGGCCTTCTCTCCCTTCCCTTCAAACTCTTATCACACTCCTGTTTTAACCTCTTCTTTAATCTAATACTTGTTACTAACTGAAACTATTTTATCGGCTTGTTATTTTGTCTCAAGGCGAGAGCACATCAATTTCGCCAGGGCGAGGACTATCTTGTTCACCCTTGAGGCCCCTGTACCTAGGGCAGTCTTTAGCATGCAGTAAAAAACTATGCTGAAGTAATAAATTAACGAGTCCAGCTTTCTTCCAAATCCCTACCAGATAGATCGCCTAGGCTCTCAATGTGGAAACCTTTTGGGGCAGATAACTGGAAAGCCAACGCCAGCACTCGATTTGCAGGCAGATAGGGAAAACCTTTTATTTCAACTCGATCAGTGCCATCTGCTGGGCCCTACTCGGCCAAGAGCTGGGCACAGAGATGAAAAGGCGGGATCCTAGCCATTAGGCATCAGGCGCTTAACGCAAGTGACAGGTACCAGAGTAAACATTCTTCAGCACAAGCACCACCGGCTCACTTCCACCACCTTAAGATTAAATCCAAGCTGCGGCGCGCAGCATTCAAGGTGTGCTTCTGACGCTAGCCCTGTCTTTTCTCGAAGGGCCGGACCCAAGTCCATCCCGGGCGCCTTTCCACTTACCGGCTACCTCCTCGGGCTCGGTTCCCGCGGTGACCAGGGCGGCCCGGCTCGCCAGCCGGCGGGGACGCGCTACCGCCGGAGGAATCTGGGCGGCGGTGGGCGGGAGGCGCGGCTTCCGGGCTGAGGCGCTCCTGCTTCACCTTCACCACCACCGCCGCCGCCACCATGTCCCCGTCGCGGTGCCTCCGCCGGCTCCCCCGCTCCCGCTCGCTCTTTACCTCCTTCATGCTGAGATACGAGCCGAGCGAAGGAAAAAAGGTCCGTTGCGCTCCTCTCGCTGAAGGAAATGACGGACTTGACCCCTAGACTTCCGCTTCCGGGTGCGCGCTCTCCCAGAAACCCTCGCGGCGGAGAGCTAGGCACGTGACTACGACTCTGCAGCGGGCGGGGCTGTCAGGACCGGCTCGGGTGGCGGGAGTTTTAAGTGACAGAAAGAAACTTCTGGGAAAAAGCTCCCCTCGAGGCTGTTTGTTGCCGCATTGTTAGTAATTACTAAATACGGAGACAATCTGAATGTCCAGCAGTAGGAAACTGTTTAGGCAACTGATGAATGGTCTATCGCCATTCGTAACGCTGTTTATAAGCTCTGTGACAGACGGAGGAATCCCTGATTTGTTCAAGGAAAGAAGCGGGATAAATAATGGTGCGCAAACTGTGATTACATTTAGGTTTGGAAATAAGAAGTTGAGAGAGGGAAAAGCAATCGCAGATAGTAGCCCGTGGGCAAGTCATTAGTATGCCCCCCTCTGTTCTTGAACTTTGTTATGCTGTCATTTCAACATTTAACTAAAAACACTTTTTTTTAGATTTTATTTATTTGACAGAGAGAGACATAGCGAGAGAGGGAACACAAGCAGAGGGAGTGGGAGAGGGAGAAGCTGGCTTCCTGCCGAGCAGGGAGCCCAATGCGGGGCTTGATCCCAGGACCCTGAGATCACGACCTGAGCCGAAGGCAGACGCTCAATGACTGAGCCACCCAGGCGCCCCCTAAAAACACCTTAAAATATTTTTATTTTCAAGTCATCTCTACAGCCAGCGGTGGGGCTCGAACTCACTACCCCCAGATCAAAAATCTCATGCTCCACTGACTGAGCCAGCCAGACGCCCCCAAAATAAACACTTTTTAAAACCTGGGAACTCCGGATGCCTTCCTCTGGGAATCTTCCCCAAGCCTTCAATGAGGAGTCACATGACTCCCGTTTTGCAGGTGACAAAATTGGGAGTCAGCTAAGGGGATCTGCCACCTCATTCAAATTGCGAGCGAGATGCAACGCAGGGACTCGAACTCCTGTTTTGCATGTTTCCAAGAGTATCAAGGCGACCTGGTGAGCAGGAACCCAGATAAGGTAAGCACAAGGAGAATTTTTCACAGAGGCTGAGCGGAAACTCTGTGCTGCTGGCCCCGCCCCACTCCGAAGCCCCGCCCAGGCCACGGGGAAGGGAGAGGAGGTTTCCATGGTGACGGCAAACAAGGCGCACACTCCAGGGGCCGCGGCCGGGCTGCTACTACCGTCGCCGTCATGATCCCCCCTGCGGACTCTCTGCTCAAGTATGACACCCCGGTGTTGGTGAGCCGGAATACGGAGAAGCGGAGCCCCAAAGTAAGGACGGGCCTTAGGGGGCGGGGGAGCCCGGAAGCTCCGATAGGGAAAGATCCCTGCGATGAGGATCCCGGGTCCCGAGAGACGTGGGCTGCAGCAACTGGGAGCAAAGGGAATTGGGACAGGGGAAGGAAGATGGGAGAGCGGCACAAGAAGCGCAGATGGGTGACCCCAGGGAGCAGATTTAGGATGAGGGAGGAAGTCACAGAGATGGATGGGGCTCACTCTTTTTCATAGTAGTCTGTTCCAAGAATAGATCTGGTAGTGCTTGCTCGCTCCATCACTAGAGGGCTGAGCACCTGTGCCAGAAACATTGGTTCCAGGAGATACAGGCCTTGGGCTAGGATGGGACCAAAGACTCTTCATGGCTTCCTTCAGCTGAGACATAACTTCTGAGAAGAGAGATGGGGAAAGTGAGTTGGGAAGAGGGGAAGGGTGTTTAGAAGACCTGGGGCAACCAAGAGGGCTTGGATATGTAGAGTTCAGTGTCTGAATCACCTCCTGCCCTAACCTGTCCATTCTTCTCAGGCACGGCCACTGAAAGTCAGCCCCCAGCAGCCTGGACCCTCTGGTCCAGTTCCACAGCCACCAAAGACCAAGCTCCCCTCAACTTCTTGTGTCCCAGATCCTACAAAGCAGGCAGAAGAAATCTTGAATGCCATCCTACCCCCAAGGTAAAAACATAGGTGCAGTGGCTTCGAGAAAGCCCAGGCTTTGCATCCCAGAACTTGGGAATGTAGGAAGAGGCACCCTGTCCCTCTCTTCCTGGCCCGGATTTCCTCCCAGCATCCCAGAACTCCTAGAGCTTGCAGATGGCTGGATCCTGAAGGGTGGTGGAGACCTCTTCTCTATCCTCCTCTTTTCCTGAATGCTCAAACAGCCTCCTGGCTTTAAATACCATCTACATGCCGATGGCTTCCAAATGTGTATTTCCAGCCCTGTCCTTTCCTCTAAACTCCAGACCCATGTATTTTACTGCTTCCTCATTATCTTCATGAAGGTGTTTCCTGGGCATCTCAAACTCAGCATGTCCAAACTAAATCTTGATGTCCCCCTCTCCCAAACTACTCATCCCTAGTCTTCTCCTTTCTACAAGTGGCTCAGGCCACCCTTCATTCCTTTTGGTCTCTCACATCACATGTCCTATCCTTCATCAAATTATTTTGGCTCTACCTTCAAATTTATATCCCAAATCTAACCACTTTCCACCCCCTCTGCTTCCACCATTTTGTTCCTCGCCACTGTTTGTCACCTACAGTGGTCTCCTATCTAAAAACCTTGCTTCCATTCTTTGCTCGTACAATCTATTCTCCAAACAGCCCTGAAATCCTAAGCCAGATCATGCCAGTCTTCTGCCAGGAACTTTTTAATGGCTTCCCATGTCACTCCAACTAAAATCCAAAGTCCTTACAATGACCTGCAAGAGTTGGCACGATCTGGCCCCTCATATATCCATGATCTCGTCTCCTGTTATTCTCCTTATTGTTCAATGTGCTGATGCCACAGGGGCCTCTGCTGTCTCTGGAATACTTCCATCACCCTTCCACCTCAGGGCCTTGACAGTTGCTGTTCTTACTGCCAAGGATACTCTTCCCCCGATGTCCACCTCATTCCCTTCCGTCTCTTTACTCAGGTCTTGCTCAAATGTGATTTCCTCAAGGGGGCCTTCCTTGAGAATCCTTATAAAAGAGCACCTTCTCCCTTCTTCACCATCCCCTCACCCTGCTCCCTCCTTCTGCAGCCATGTGTATGACTATCTGACATGCTTAGTCAACTATTTTTATGTAATAAGTTGACAGTACAGTTTCTAAGACTGTAATGAAAAGAGTGACTGCCATCTCGTCCGAGATGGAAGTCAAAGAAGGGAGGGGGGATTTTTCAGGTGATTCCCTCCTGTCAATAAATGGAAATCCTCTCCCCATGGTGATTCTACCCTCAGGCTCCCTCCTTGTGATTCCGGAACCTGGCCAAGCCTCTGACACAAGGTTTATTGGGGGGCGGGGGGTGGGGTGAGCGGGGAGGGGACCACATAGTTGCACGCCTTCAGGAAGCTCCCCACTTCACACTTTTGCCTCTTTCTGGCTGGCACAAGGTTTAGGGTGCCCTGTGTCTCCCACCCCACAAGTCAGTGGGGAATTCTCACTGGGCCTTCTTTTCCAATCAAGCAATGAGGTCTATGAATCTGTCCTCAACCCATTAGGAGGGTAAGATCTGGAACATGGGTGATGATTTCACAGAAAGCCATAAGAGGGTAGAGATTGCCCAGCTCCCAGGTAGAGGCCCCGTGGAGGCAGCTTAGTGGGTGTGGCTATGGAGCCCCACACTCCCCAAGGAAGAAAGAGGGATGGAAGCTTCTGGTGGGTTGGTGACAGAGCTGCCCCTTTGTTCCTGCTCAGGCAGAGAGCCCAAAGGGCCATCTCTGCTCACGTCCTGAGGCCCCTCTAGCTGTGGGTTTGCTCAGCCTGGCTGTGTCTGTGCCACAGGGAATGGGTGGAGGACACGCAGCTATGGATCCAGCAGGTGTCCAGCACCCCCAGCACTAGGATGGATGTGGTGCATCTCCAGGAGCAGCTGGACCTGAAGCTGCAGCAGCGGCAGGCCAGAGAGACCGGCATCTGCCCTGTGCGCAGGGAGCTCTACTCGCAGTGTTTCGGTGAGTGGCCTGGCGAGGGCTGGCGTTGGGGGAATACGCGGTCCTCTCCTACCTCCTGCCCTTCCCCTTGAGCACAGACCCAAGCCCTGAGTATCCCTGAGCTGAAACCCACCCCATCCTGGAATCATTTTTTCTCCCTCTCCCCAACCCCCGCCCCAGGATCTGCTAAATGTGTCCCCCTCCCCCTCATCTGCCAGCCAACCTGACCCCCCAGTTCCTAACCTCTTAGCAAATGTTTGAAGACGAGAACTTCCATTTTGAATTTTAAAAAAATAGTTTTTTAATAATAAGCATGTTAGTTTTTTAATCAGAAAGACTAAATGTCTGTATTTATATCCATCCATCAGCATTCAGCCCTATGGCCCAGAAAAATATTTCGGGATAATTTGCTATTAACCGACAGTCACAAAAGATTTAAGTGATAGTGTCAAATGGCTGTCCCCCAGCCCAAACTCACTGGCCCGTGCGGACTCTGACATTCAAACTGCCGCCAAACCCTGCGGCCAGCAGGCTCCCTTCGGTCTGAGGATGACGACAGTCAGCATCCATGGAAGAGATGTGTGGGCAAGCTCTGATTCCTACTGTTGGCAGCCCCAAGCCCGTCCGGCCACCGGGGCACACAGGATTTCCCAGCTGCCTTAAAGCAGCCACCATCCTCAAACTGAAAAGTCTGATTTCTCCGACTCGTACCCTGGGGTTTCTACCTAAGGGTCGGTAAGGGGGGGCCTCCCAGCTACAAGCAAACCCGAGGGCTCCTGTCTCCCTCTGCCCTGGGCTTGCCGACTGCCTATCCTCCCAAGTGCCACCTTCAGAGCAGTAGTTGTCTGGCAAGGCTCCTGGGGCCTCTGTCTCCGAGTGGGTAGGACACACGCTACACCGTCCCCAGTAGGAAGGGCGGTGAGCCCCAGACATGGTGCAGTCTCCCTCCCACCTGCCCTCCTGAACTCCTTGTTATGTGCTTTGGAAGACGAGCTGATACGAGAGGTCACCATCAACTGTGCGGAGAGGGGGTTGCTGTTACTGCGAGTCCGGGATGAGATCCGCATGACTGTCGCCGCCTACCAGACCTTGTACGAGAGCAGCGTGGCCTTCGGCATGAGGAAGGCACTGCAGGCCGAGCAGGGGAAGTCCGACATGGAGAGGAAAGTGAGTGGGGCTGACCACGAGGCCTCCGCCCTCTGTGAACTCTTCTGTCCAGCTCAGGGCCACAGGGTTGTCATTCCAGACGAAAGCCTGGCCTCCGAGGGGGCTCTGGCCATCCGGTCAGCGGGGACCCTTGGGTTCAGAGTGCGCGGGCCCGCCTGGTGCTTGCCGGTCACCGGCCTCCCACTGGGTGGCAGCACAGACCCTGGCACCGTGAGCCTGGCCGGCTGCGTCCCAGGTCCCCTCCACCCAGGCACTCACACTGGCCTGTCCTCTTGGTGGAGGCCCAGGATGACCCGAATTTACGTCCTCAGATTGCAGAATTGGAAACAGAAAAGAGAGATTTGGAGAGGCAAGTGAACGAGCAGAAGGCCAAGTGTGAGGCCACCGAGAAGCGGGAGATCGAGAGGAGACTGGTGGAGGAGAAGAAGCACAACGAGGAGATTCAGTTCCTCAAGCGCACGAATCAGCAGCTGAAGGTGGGCCCCCCTCCCCAGCCTCCCCCACAGCAGGCCCAGGTGCTGGGGCTCCTGCCTGCCGCCCCCCAGCCGTGCGGGGGCCAGGTGGCAGCTCCGTTTCCTCCAGAGGAGTCAGCAGACTTGTCCCCGCGCGCTGCCAAGGAGTGAAGGAGTGAAGGAAGCTGATGTGGGGGCAGGGGTGAGGGTTCACTATGCAGCTTCTGCATGCATCTGGCCCTGGATTCCCACAACACCTCAGCCTGGCTCTCCAGTGGAGGGTTTGTTTTCCCTTGAAAAAAAGTTACCCCTCCTCCAGGAGAGGTGGATATAGCAGAAAGTGGAATTTCTCTCCCATGACAGCTGATATTTTGGAGCCTTCCTAGCATGGGCTGGATCTCTTCAGCAGGCTTTCATGGGAGGCCTTTCCTGCCTGCAGCCCCTCTGAGGCATGGCATTTGGGATGGGCAAGGAAGGCCCTTTGAGAGGGAAGAACCATTTCAAATTAGGAACCTTCCCCAGGTGTGTGGTCAGAGGAGTTCAACGGTAGGTGTTTTTCCTCAAAGTCCCTTTGCCAGTGGTTTACATTTATCCAGCTGAGCTGGAGCGGGGCCAGGCGTCTGAAACTCCAGGCTCTCTGTGGGATCTGAAACTGCTCTAAGGCTGGGCCCTAGACCAGCATCATCACCGGGGAACTTTTAGAAATACAAGTCATTGGGCCCATCCCAGATCGACTGAATCAGAAACGTTGGGGTTGCGGCCCAACAGCCTAACAAGGTCTGCAGGCAATTCTGGTGCTTACTGAAGTTTGAGAACCATTGTTCTAGATATAGGACCTGTTGATGTTTAGTGGTGGTCTTCCATGGCCCTGGTCAGAGGGGCCCCTGGATGCTGTCTCCCTTTCCTCCCTAGTCTCATGGAAAGCTTACATTCTTGTGACTGGCAGGCTTCTTGGGCCTCCAGCAAGGAGGACAGGCACTTGAGATAAGGAAGGGCTTGTATGAACTGCTAGTGCAGGACAACAGGTTTTCCTGTTGCTGAGTTTAACAAAGAAAAGCTAGAAACTTCATAGCCAGACATGAATCTGTTTACTTAGCAGCTTCTGAAGCTGCGTGCCTTATCTGCCATGTTCCTTTATCATAAGCCCGAGTTCCTCAGTTCCTCCTACAGCACCAGCAGCAGGAGCAAAGCGGAACACCTTGGCATCTTTCTAACATTTCCAAGCAACCTTGTCATCCCCAGGGTGAAGGACTCTTTAGAAGTGAGTTATTTTTATTGGCTCCAAGCTGCACTGCAAATAAAGCAGTGCTTGCTGTCCCTAGGATAGACCTACTTAAAGATCTGTCCACATACCATGATAGTAAATTATTTTACTGGCTGCTGGAGGAGCAGAGTAAATAACTCCCAAGTGTCTTAAGCTTTACATACAAGATGGACAGCTCCCTACTTACTGGTAGCAATTTTCTCTAATTGGGTGTCAAGTTGTCTAAGTGGCTGAAAAATGGCTGTTTCCAAAACCTCTCGTCCCAACTCAGAGCTCCCAGGATCCCGAACCAGAGATCCAGATGTTTACCTTAGCATTTCAGGCCTGAAATCTGAGCCATAAAAAACCACTATTTCAACTTTTATTCAATTTCCTTTTCAGTGCTTTATATTATACACAGAGCCATTATTGTATGGAAACCAGGACAGCTCTGGTTTCTCCCAGTGTAGCAAGACTGGATGCCAAGCCCGAAACCAGCTAATCTAGGAAATATGGAATTGGGAATGGAGGGAAAAACACTTGGCGGGGCAGCATTGGATTCTTCTTCCCAGGGACTTTATCACCTCTCAGTGCAAGGCTGCAAGCTTCAAATATTAATGGAGTTTGTTTTTGTTTTTCAGGCCCAACTGGAAGGTATTATTGCACCAAAGAAGTGATCATTTCCACATGGGTCTCAGCAAGCACTGCTACCCCATCCTAAGCCTGTTGTAATAAAAAAAAGCTAGTTTCCTGAGTGAACAGGCCATATCCTCCCCCTGGTCCCCACCTACATGTCTGTCAGAAGTCACACGTGGCCCCAGTGGCATGGAACACCTAGGTCTGGCAGCCGGGCTCCTGGCTGGGCAGTGGAAGGTGGTGCAGCCGACAGTCTCTGTATGTGGCCAACCTTGGGATTTGCCAACTCAGAAAGTAAGGCTTTCGGCCATATCCCTCGCAGGTGAAACTGCCTTCCCACCACTGCTCCATACTATCAATTATTTCTAGCCGAATGAGCCGCCTCCCTGTCCCATTTCTGGTCCATGATGCATCTTGTATCTGACCTTGGGCTGCTGAGGCCTGTCTTTCCCCTGAGGTCTTTCACCATTCCTACCCCAGTGCGGGTCTAGTGACTCATGCTGGAGTTCTGCGTTTATACTAGGTCATTTTACCCCTGCCCGCCAAACCCACCCCAGCCTCTTCCCTAGTCTCAGACTGCCCAGGTGAGGCAGGAATGGCAGCCAAAGCCAGGGCTTCTGAGAAAGTAAATGTTTGCTGGGAAGAAACACAAGTCACGAGGTCCACTGTGAGCTGCCTGCACCTCAGGAGCCCTGATTTGGTTTGTTCATCTTATTCTGCAGAAAATCACACCCTGACCCTATACCCCTCTAACTACCTATGTTTGATGAACTGGAGAGGTACCCAAACCTCACGTGCAGCTCTAATTATTAATGAGGAGGCTATGGCCCGTAGACTGCGTTTTACTATTCCTCCTAGGTTAAACTCAAAGTTCAGAGGCCCAGGGCTGCTCCTGGTTTCGTAGACCCAGAAGAGTAAGTGAGCAACACAGATCTTCCATTTAGGGCAGTCCAGGGTAGGCTAGCGCAGCAAGATGAGGTACTTCCATCCTGCATGCATGCTGCACAACCAACACCTAGGAAGGCACGAACGTGTCCGCCCGGCTGGAGCGCCTCAAGTTGCACAGTATTCCCCAGGAGGTGCCAAGAAGGACCCTCCTTAGTGGAGCTCTGACCTGACATCGTCCCTGTTAAGGTTCCAAGACTCCCTGAAAGAAGGGCAGGCTAACGAGAAGAGCTGGATTCTGGGTCAAACATGCCCTGTCCCTCTCATCTCAGACTGGAAGCCAGCTTTTATCCCGTCCTGGTGTCCTGAGGCATTCTAAGGCTCCACTAAAATCACCTGTCTGGGCTGCCGTTTTCATGGGAAAGAACTCTGTTCGTTGAGATGCGCCAGTCCCGGGACTCCCTGACAGTAAAGAACCTGTGTCCTCACTGCGTCCATCTAACAGACTCGGAGGGAGAGCTGAAGCGGCATTTTTCCCTCCTATTTTAAAGCGTAGGCCACATACATCTTCGAGATTTTCTTGTTTTCACACCTCTGTTCCAAACTAACTGCCAGTATAAAAGGTATTCCACCCTTTCCATTCTGTAGACCTCATCTGTTTCTGTCAGAGGTCTGCATACCATGGGTACGCTCCGGAGGAACAAAGAGGGCTCATTTAAGTGTCAGAAGTGCCACTGGACCCCATCACCTAAAGCCTTAGGGGTGTAGGGACTTTATTTTCACCAGCACCGGTGAAGGGTTTCAACTGTCGAACCTCAGAACAAATGCATCATGGCCTTAGAAATGCCGACTGGGCATGAAGAGAAGGAACACAGTTTCTAATTGCGTATTTTTGTATAATTTAATAAACTTTTAAAACATTACTGCTTATGTTTGAATTTTTTGTGTCTGTGTTTCTGTCCTTCAGAGTCATTGGTCTTCTTTTTGTTCCGGTTCCTATTTTTCACATTGTGGGTTTCATAGTAACGCACACCAACTTTCCTGGATTGCTGCTGCCGCGCCACTCGCCTCCGCTGTAAACAATGGCAAAAGGAAAAAAAAAAAAAACCCAGAAGACCAAAAAAAAAAAACCAATCAATCATGGCAAAGTCACAGAAGAGGCCCCTCTGTTTCCCTGTGCTCCCTTCCTGTGCTGCTCCCCCAACAACTAGAATCAGCGCTAGTAACAAGCAAGGGCTCCCCTCACAGACCCAAGTGTGCCCTTCCACCGTAACTCGTGACGCGGCCCGTTCTAGACTGTCGTTTGGTCCGTCCTCCCTGCTGGAATCTCTTCTACTGCACTCCTGACAAGTGGTCCTCTAAGGGTGAACACTTCTGGGAACAAGCTCTTCCCTTCCCAGCAGGGCCCACCCCAGCTCTGATGAGCCCATGGCGGCAGGGATCCATCTGCCTACACAGCTCTGCTCACAGAAAACCAGCAGACCCTTCTAGAGGATAGTCCACATGTTTGAGGACAGCGATCGAGAACTCAAGGACCGCCATCCACTGGGCCGACTCTTGATGCTATGGAACTGATCTCAACTAGGTCACCTAGAACCGGGGTTCCGAGAATTCAACTCCAGACCATCAGTTTTGGAAAGTGTGTCTCCTAGGAAACTGATTTCTCCTCTCTACTTCCTGGGTGATGTTTAAGACCAAAACCACGTACTTCCTTGGATGTAAGCGTCCTGCGAGTTTTATTTGAATGGTCCTCTTCCCTCTGTGCCTTCCTCTTCTTTCCCTTTTTGGTAGGTGCTGGAAACACAACACACGAACACACAGAGAAGAAACAGGACTTTCAAACTTTCAAAACTTTGTGTGTGAATGCTAAGGTAGGAATGAGCTTGATGTGTTGGAGGAAGAAGGCCAGTGAGCATGGAGTGTGGCAGGCACGGCGCAGAGGAAAGTGGGGGGTGGCCAGGAGGGTGCCAAGCCAGGAGGCCCTTGCAGGCCATGCCAGGGTTTGCATTTATGCCACGGAAACACACTTTCCACATAGAAGCTGTGAGTCCAATGGAGTTAAGAATAGATACCTGACCCATCCCACCTCCCACAAAAAAAATCTGGCTGACCCACCCCTAGACTGTAAGGTTACTAATGGACTCTTTTTACAGGAAGCTTCCCGAATTAATCCCAAGAAATGTGCGGAATGAAAAGTGAATAATCTGAGCTGTACGACAAACAGTATATAGAACAGGGTCATCTGCCGGTAATGATAAGCACCTGTGCAGGTGACAGCACAATCTCCAAGTTTAGAGATTAAAGTTAAATTTCACATAGTTTTAAAGATGCATACCGCACCTAAGCGGTTTGACGAATTTAACTTTACCTGTGTCTTCTACAACTTCTTCAGCTGCTCTTTGTTCTTCAGATTTTGCAAAAACCTTTTCACTTAGTCCCTTGGATATTCTGCAACAGAAAAGCCAAGTAACAAAGCTGCCCAACACTCCCCTCAGCTGCCCAAATCAGGTGCCAACCCGGGGGCAGGAGGCAACGCCCCGCAGTCCCGGCAGCTCCCTGGGCCTTGGTCAGAGGCAGACCTACGCCGCTCATACTTCAGGGAGCGGCGGCTTAGAAATGGACAGACCACTTCCTGAAAAATGGCATTAACTCCCTTCCACCTCCCAGAAAAATACTGCTCCAGTCCCCATGGCAAGGGTCTCAGAAAGGAACGCGCAAACCCCAATTTGTGAGAAGACGAGGATACTACCTGACTGCTGAAAACTTCTTAGCTTTGGCTTTGTTTAAAAACTTCTGATATTTAGCAATCTTTTCATCCAGTGCTTTAATAACTGCCTTGGTGTCATCTGCCGCGTGTTCTTCCTGGGGCTCCGGGCAAGACCCGTCTTCCTCGCCTCCCGGCTGCCTCTGGTCCTCCTCCCCCTCCTCCTCTTCGGAAAAGCTCTCAAGCGCTTCATCGATGTCGGACATCTCCAGAGGGACCAGGTCGTCCCCAGAAAACTGAGGCACGACATTGATTTTGCCGAAGTTCTGCCGAACCCGGGCCAGAATCTGCTGCATTTCTGAGTCGGTGTCACAGTGACTGTTCTCTTTCTCCTTCTCAGTGGCAGGCTCTGCGGCTTCACCCACAGTTGCTGTGACTTCCTCTTCTGTGTTCTTCTGGCTTGTCTCTGTGGCAACTTCCAAAGATGAGGAGGACAGGAGCTATTCAGGCCAAAGTGGGGTGCAGGTGGGGGAGAGAAATGGGATCAGAAAATAAAAACCATTTCTGGACAGCTTGCTCTCAAGGAGGCAGTCCTCTTCTCGGGGCTAAGGGAAAGAACTGAAGACCCCCACCCTGGAGTCACGGTGTTCATCTACCGTAGGCCGAGGTGCATTACACCCAAAAGCCGCTACGCAGGGATCAGAGGCATTCAGCTGCGGTTCCAAAGGATGAGCCCGCTGTGAGTATCGAACCACTCAAACCATCTGCCATGCACCCTCCCCAAGGAGGGGAACGGATGGGGCTATGGAAATAGGCACACCCAAGAGGGGCCCACACAACTGCTCTAGAGGGAAAGCAGAGCGCTCAGCGGGGGGGCGCTGGGGAGGCCCCTGGAGGAAAGGGGTGAGCAACAGGAGGCAAGCTGGCAAGGTGAGGCCAGAAGGAGCCAAGATGTGTGGGGGGGACACTGAAACGACCTGCCTCTCTGAGGTAACGGCAAAGGAGAAGTGGGTGCCAGGCTTTATCCTGGCGCTTCGCATTTGTAGTATCATTTTATCCTGACAACTGAGAATCACGGAACTTCCGGTGATTTTCTGAAGGCAAGAGTGGCTACACAAAGTGCTCAATAAATCAGGAATCCAGAAAATTCAGGAAATTGTATACAAAATGTGTAGGTCCAGTTTTATACCTTTTTCCGAAGCTAAGTTTTTAGCTTTTGGATTCTGAAAGAGTTTCAGCCACTACAGAAAGAAAAAAAGAAAATCGCAGCCTGGGGGAACTAATGATCTAAAACTCAATGACCAGACATGGAGGAAGAGTTCAAGATAACCCCACTGTGTGCACACAGGGTCACAAAAGACCCTGCCACACCTCCTCCTTCCTCACCCCCACTGGCTAACGCACCAACGCACCCCCCAGGTGCTTCCCGCCATGTCTCCTGCCATGTCTCCTGCTCCTGGCGCCGGGGTCCAGCCCCATGACTTCCCCTCAGCACTCAGGCCATGGCAGGCAGGCTCCTGCCTCG